GGGACGAATAAGATCAATGTAGGAAGAAAATGCCAGGATTGTTTGGGATGCTGATTAGAAACCAAAAAGAATCGGCAACATTGCAACTGAAAACCTTCCCTGTTTTGAAAAAGTAGAAAATTAACTTAGCTAACCCAAATCCACAACTAGGGCTAGCAATATTTAAAATTCAGCATTGCGATGAAGGCACTACTATCCATGCGATGTGCCCACAGGGGTGCTGGGGGCCTCCTGTGAGTTTGCTGCCTTTGGTCTGACCAGGGCACAAACCAGCGTGAGGAAACACCAGGACGGATGTGTGCGGGGAATAGCTTCAAGTTTTGAGCATCTAAAGGAATTTCTAAGTGGTGTAAAGATAGTCTGGAAATTGTAGCGGATGAATAAGATCAATGTAGGAAGAAAATGCCAGGATTGTTTGGGATGCTGACTTAGAAACCAAAAAGAATCGGCAACATTGCAACTGAAAACCTTCCCTGTTTTGAAAAAGTAGAAAATTAACTTAGCTAACCCAAATCCACAACTAGGGCTAGCAATATTTAAAATTCAGCATTGCGATGAAGGCACTACTATCCATGCGATGTGCCCACAGGGGTGCTGGGGGCCTCCTGTGAGTTTGCTGCCTTTGGTCTGACCAGGGCACAAACCAGCGTGAGGAAACACCAGGACGGATGTGTGCGGGGAATAGCTTCAAGTTTTGAGCATCTAAAGGAATTTCTAAGTGGTGTAAAGATAGTCTGGAAATTGTAGGAGGTTTGTTTACTATTCCATCTGGATCTCTGTTTCAAATCTGAGAGGATGTTGAGAGCAACAGCACATTTCACCGGAGGCTGGTGGAGAGTGTCCACCTCAGGGGAATTTGACACCTTTTTCTGACCTCCCTGGGCATTGCATGACACAAATGCACTTAAACATATTCAGGCAATACACTTATACACATAAAATAAAAATAAATAAAATACTAAAAAATAAATAAAAATAAAAAAGATCTCTTCTTTTAATTTTTACAATTTAAAAAAACCACACTTTACTCAGACAACTTAAGAGCCAAAATATTGTGAAATACCTTTTAGCCTACTTAATGACAGGACAGAGTCTGGCTTTGTTACTGTACTTCATTCTAAACTTCTGAACACAGCTCATTCTAGAAGAGTCCAGATTCACTTTGGTATTGATACACAAGCTGATTGGTGTACAGATTCTACTTCTCATGCCTGCTTTTGAGTTGCAGCTGGCCTAAGAATCATAATAACTTCTTTGAGCTCTAAACAGAATGCAAAAGTCCTAGAAACAAACTTCCTCTGAAGGACAGTTCCAGGAAGTGTGACTCATCTGCCCAGGAAGTGTGTGAGGAGGAGCCCTCAATCAAAGAGCTGCAAACGCACTGTGCTGACTCAAAGTCTCTTCTGCTCTCTGCTTTGCTGCAAGTAGGATGTGAGATTTTACTGATCACACTGCTTAGGTTCACACAGAGAATCCCTGGAGCTTTTGTAGGAAAACTGGGAGGCAGAGGGAAGGAGTCCTGGGCTCACACATGGGTCCACTCCCTTTAATCACAAACGGGAAAACTATCTTGCAGACTATAGCCTCTCTCTGTGTGTGTGTGTGTGTGTGTGTGTGTGTGTGTGTGTGTGAGCATGCGGGTGCAAGCACACGTGCGTACCTGTGCAGAGGACAGAGATCAAACAGTCAGGTGTCTTCCTCAACCATTCTCCTCTTTATTCTTGGGATAGGGTCTCTCACCAGTTTAGCTAAACTGGCCGGCCAGTTCTAGGCATCCTCCTGTCCGCCTTCCCAGTGCTGGGATGACAAAGGTATGCTGCCATGCCTGGGTTTTTATGTTGGTGCTTGGGATCTGAACTCAGGCCCTCATGCTTATATGACAAGCACTTTATCAAATGAGCCAGCTCCCCAGACCCCAAACTATAGCTGCTTATTTAATGCAAAAGGCTTTAGAGAGCAAATAATACCACACAAAATTACGCTCACCTTAGACTAATGCTACATAATATTTATGAGCATTTTTCTTTATGGGGCATTATTCCGAGTTAAAGTCCTAGCAGCTCTATATAATGAAGGCTGTGCTGTGAAGCTCTGCAAACTGAGGAATGGAGAGATTTAGTAATTCAATATTTTGAAGTGCATCAAAGGAAAAACATTCTTGTTTTCTCCACTGCCTTTTACTTTTACTAAAATAAACATTGTTAGATTGGTACAAAAGTCTTTATTTTCTGTAAGGAATGATAGAGAACGCAAACAAATCTAAAAGTCACAGTGATACCCAGTGAAGTTTCAGAATAAAGTCCTTCTCTGTTCTCTTTCTTCACAGAGCTCCAGTTAAAGAAGAAGATTAAATATTGATGTTCTTATTTCTCATTTATCCTTTGCGGAAAGTGCCAAAATGCATTAAGGACTCCAGCTGCAGGCAGGGAGGGGAAAAGGGAGTGTCTTGAAGAAGGGACCACTAACTAGACCTCAGCCTGCAGAATCCCTGCCCCGCTCCTGACCAGGAGCTGCTCTTGTCCGCACTGTGCCTGCAGCGACACTGAGTGTCTGCGTTTGCAGTGTGCTGGGCTTTGCGTTCTTGGCATTTATAGCTCATTAACTCTGATTATTCCATTTTTCAGAAAGGAAATGAGGTACATAGAGACTAACCAACTTGCCAGGGTCACCTGAACTTAAGTTTTAATTCAGGTATATCTGCTCTAGAATTTTTGTTCTGAAATACCATACTTTCCTGAGCATCAGAGAGAAGACTAAGATTGCTCTGTTATGGAGCCCAGGGCAGTCAGTTCTGGGCAGGCAGTACTGAGCAATACTAAACACTATCCTTAGCATCCCGCAGCAATCAGCAGGTGGAAGAAGCCAGCTTGATCAGATTTGATTCTAGTGATGACCCTTAAACAGCATGGGGCAGAGAAGGTCCCAATGCTGTTTTCTATGGAAGACCGAAGAAGACTATCATTTATCATGAAACCAAGTTATCTGGAAACTGAGCAATTATTCTTGGGTCCTGCACGGTAGCCATTAAAAGTCAAGTGATTACCAGTGACACAAACACAGACATCTGTATACACTTCCCTTATTGAAGAGTTTATGAAAATCTTTAAATGGATGAAATAATTGATTTTGTCTTTAAATAGATTCCTAGGAAGAGAGAGTCAAAATGCTACCAAGAAGTAGAGCAAGGGAACTTGGAAAGCAAAGAAAATCCACTTCAGACTGTGGGAGCTGCTATAAGCAGCCCAGCCCTGGGTTTGCTGCTCACTGCGCAGAAGCTGCCAGTTCTCATGGGCAGAGCTGGAGGGAGGCAGCTGGCATTTCCAAGAGAGGGAGGCTGTTAGAAGGATGGGAAATACCTTTCCAACTTGCCCCCAGAAGGTTTGGATAGCCAACAATGAGCTGTTAAGCTCTCTCCAGGAGTGTGGGGGAATAATATTCTTACAAGCAATCTTTGAGTGTTCTTTAAATTCCTCAGTTTTAACCGCCTTCCTCTACAGCAGTGGAAGACAATGTGCCCACCTCTCTCACTTCCCTACAGCAAGCCCCTTAACAGATCTCAAGACATCGTGGTGCCACTTGCCTGTTATCCCAACACTCAGGAAGCAGAGACAGGAGGATTAGGAGTACAAGGAAAAAACCAAAACCACACACATACGCATACAAAGAAAATAATACAATATTAAAAATGCCATTCCAACTGGATGTGGTAGTGCACACCTTTAATCCTAGCATTTGAGAGGTAGAGGTAGGTGGATATCTACAAGATCAAAGCCAGCTTGAAAAAAAAAAGGCCAATCTGACAGTGGTTTTTTCTGCTCTGGCCCTGAGAGATTTGCTCCAAGAGAGATCTGAGAAAGAATACTGAACTTGTGAACTTGTTTTTTAATTTTTATTTTTATCTTTACGTGTATGAGTGTTTTTCCTACACGTATGCAACTGCACCACATGTGTCAATGCCTGCAGTGGACAGAAGAGGGCATCAGATCTCTTGGAACTGGAATTACAGATGGTTGTTAGCTGTCATACGGGTGCTGGGAACCAAACCTGGGTCCTTTGCAAGAGCACTAAGTGTTCTTAACCTCTGAGACATCTCTTCAGCCCCAGTCATTGAAATTCTTAACCTTCCCACAGGCATGGTAGAAACCTCCTGGTGGTCTACTTTCAGTTCCCCAAACACAGCTTTTCCTAGTCAACCCTCAGTCTGACACCTTGGAACCTAGTGATAAACAGTTACGTTTCCACAGTCTAGGAGTCTAAGAAATTATCTACTGAATGGATAAATGAACAGTGCATAGTGGAATAGTGACTGTTTGAAGAAGCAACATGGTCAGCAAAAAAAAAAAAAAAAAAAAACCAACCCTATTGAATCCTGTCTAACCCAGCACTTCCCAAATTCACTCTAACACAAGGCTCTTGTTAGTGAATCATCGATCCACATTTGTGGCAGACAGCTATGTGGTTACCTCAAATCAACTTCCCCTTTGTCTGTATTCATGAAACACCATATGGCCAAGAATACCTGACTTAACATGACCTGACTGAGAAATTAACTTGTATTGCATGAAGCACCAGCAAATCTGTGAGCTCTCTATAAAGGCAGCTGGTGTTACACTGGGTAATTCCTATAGCACATGGGCCATGAAATAGGATGTTTCACAATTGTAGCATAGAAAATATTGCTCAGACTATAGATGTAGAAAGAATGGGTGTCAACATGGTAACTCCAAAGAAATTGATGAGCTTTTCTGTCCATTCTTTTTAAAAAATATTTTATTTAATATTTTAAAATTTTATGTGTATGAATGTATTGTCTACATGAATGTTAGTGCATTCATATCAGGCAATGCCCACAGAGGTCATAAGAGGGTGTCAGATCCCCTGGAACTGGAATTACAGATGGTTGTTAGCCACCGTGTGGGTGCTGGGAACCAAATCCAGGTGCTCTGCAAGAACAGCCAGTGCTCTTAACCACTGAGCCATCTCTCCAGCCCCCATTCTTTTAAAAAATGTATTATTTTGCAATTGCAAAGAGGACATGGAAGTGTTATAAATAGTGATATAAATATCTGGCCAGCAGGATGACATCAGTAAGGTTTTGGCAATAGATGAACTAGATTTTACAGAGTGGAGGGAAATGCATTTGACAGAAGCCACTGACGTAATTGGGAAGAACTAAAGCTGCCTTTAGTGGAAAAGGGACAGGGGTATAATGGAGGAAGGACAGAATGGAAGCCTATAATAATGAAGGTGCCAAGTAAGGAAAGGATGGGGGCAACGTTCAGATTTAAGATGTAAAACATGTACAATAAATCTGACATCGTTTACAGGATGAGGTAGTTACAGTAACAGCAGTATCACAAGGCCTCACAAGCACGTAAGCTCCCCAGTAGCTGTGGGAAAGTAGATTTATTTAAGGAGAAAGAATTAATTGTACACAAAGGTATGTGTCAAGGAGATATACTTACTACCATTCCTGTAACTTCACCAAAGAACTGGGAGGTGAGGGTGCCACTGCCTGTCAAGGAGGAAGTAAGCTATAGACAGTGGTCTTTGGTGCTAGCCAGTGGCTTGTGGAGGCTTGCTTTCCTTGAATCCCCAGCAATGCTGGTGAAGTCTGGGATAGGGTCTCCCCAGGCACATGCTTTTCTAACAAGATTCCCAGTTGATTGTGGAATACAGCCAGATTTAATAGCCGTTTGTACAGATCTTACTTCTTCCAAGAGATTGCAATCTTTTTATTTTCAATATTTATTTATGCACATGTGCACGTGTGTATGTGGGGGGTGGAGTGTGTGTGTGTGTATGTGTGTGGGGGGGGTGGCTCTGTGCACATGTATAGCCGTGAGATGTCATAGTTGACGTCAATCGTCAACTTGACACACTTAGGGGAGGGAATCTCAGTTAAGGAATTGCCTCTATTGGACTGGCCTATGGTCATATCTGTGAGGCAGTTTCCTGATTATTGAGTGGATTTGGGTGCTAACCCACTGTGGGTGGTGCCACCCCTAGGTTGTATAAGAAAGCAGGCTGAGGATAGGTCAGAGGTAGAAACCAGTAAGTTGGTCTCTGCTCCAGCTCCTGCTTCCAGGTCCCTGCCTTGAGTGCCTGCCTTCCATGAAGGACTGTACAATAACCTGAAATAAACACTTTCCTCCCCAAGCTAGTTTTGGTCAGTGTTTTATCAGAGCAATTGAAGCTAACCAGAACACCAGGAGAGGCATCAGGTGTCCTCTGTCACTCTCAGTCTATTCCTTTTGAGGCAGGGTCTCTCCCAGAACTTGGTCTATCCTCACTTTCTCCTCATACTGAGGTCTGTCTCCTAAGCCACAATGCACACTAATCTTCTAGTGACAAGTCTCATTCCTCACTCTCCTGACCACTTGGGAGTGCCTATCCACCTTGATCACTAACCCCATCACTCTTCTCTTGGCTTCAGTAATATAACCTCCTTCCACTTCCGTCTTCTGGCCCCATACATGCCCCCTGTTGACCTAACATTTCCCATGGGGTGCTCACACATCTGTATGCTGATTTCTCCCAAATCTAATACTTTTGTTTCTATATTCAGTCATCTAGTAGAAATTTCTTCTACATAGAGACTCAGGATAAAAATAAAAAATGAAAAAGTGAAATCCAGTTCTGAATCCTTAAGTCTGACTTCACATCGGGCCTGGGCAATATCCAACTTCCTTAAAGAAGGGACTCACTCTCCAGCTGAGGTGTCACCTCTAAGTCTGATGCATTTCGTTTTGCCCAGAGGATCAACCAATAAAGGGAAAATTGTTTCCCAATGGGATCATTACCAACTGACACCTCAGCAGCAAGCTTAGGCACAAAATCTGGCCAGCACCCATCCCAGTCTTTTTATAGTATCAGTTTTGTTAATTCAAAATAACTAAATTCTGGCTCCAGTAATGATCACTCAATGGGGACTTAGTTAAGCCACTTGGAAAAAAAAAAAAAAAACTTTAACTAGAGGTTATTAAAATAATGGAAGCTGCATTTTTGTGCTTATGACTTTTTCTCCTTAAATGGTTATTTGTGCTTTTAAATCTTCCATCATAGACCAGCCACTGTAGTGGTGGCTCTGGTCGTGCCCCCTGGCTTATAGCAACGGAAAAAAATCTCCTCCCTCTGGCAATGGTGTCATACTTTGGAAGGATTTTTTGAACTTCTGGTTCTTATTTTGTATTTTTGCTGCTTTCACAATTCACGTTACTAAACAAGAAATTGTATGCCTGGAACACAGCAGGCATATCATCCCAGCAGGCCTCTGACGGGCTGTTCTGTAGCTGTTGGAGAAGCATTTTTAATTTGTTTCCAAATACCACTAAAAATGACTTTTAATTACCATTCCATCCACAGAGGAGTCCAAACAAGTGGAGTTCAGTCCTGAATGTGTTTCTTCCTATTTCCTCCCCAGGAGCCCAGGCTCAAGACCAGTTCCAAGCCTCCCTCTTCCCATTAGTTTACCTCCCTGGACTTTCTCAAATCACGATCATGGTGCCTACGCAGCATTTGTCATGCATCCAAGCGTTGCATGTGTTGCATGTTTTGCTTTATGCTCAAGGCCATAGGGTTTCACTGAACTATGTAGGGATTTACAAAAAGACCAGTTTGGAGCTCAATTCTTTCTCAATAATAGCTGTCATCAGACTAAAACAAAAACGGTTGTGATAATCAATTTAACCTCAGTTTCTCAAACTAGTATAATATCTCAATGTAAAATAAGGCTTTGGGTCACAAGTTAGTAGTAATGCCCACCCTTTCAAGAAGTCACAGCCTATAGGGGATGAGAACAGCCATAATCAGTAAAACTTGCTGTTACCATCTACTGTGTGTCATATGAGCAAAGGTATCTGAAAGCAACTCTTCCAGTTCTTTCTAAACTATGAGCAGATTCTCATGATATGTAGAGAAGGAGACACTGTTACTGAGCTTATGAGGGCCATCTGACTCTCCACCAAGTAAGGTGGATCTTGGAACCATTGCCAAGTCAGGCAGGGTGATGCACACCTGTAATCCCACCCTTTGGGAGAAGAAGGCAGGAGAGACAGGATCTCAAAGCCAGTTACAGTCACAGAGCAAGTTCCAGGCCAGCATGGGCTACTTGAGACCCTGTCTCAAAAAGTGGAAAGCCAAACAACAATAACCAGCAACAAACATAATGACTGTAAGTTGGTTGTGTACCATAGTTTCTTAAAACACTAGTAAATACAGCTTTCTAATGTATAACTATTACTTCTATAAGGCAACTTTTTTTCTACATATAAAGCAAGTCAGTTTTTCTCACTTGTTTGATTGGGCTCTTTCTTTCTTGAAGTAGGATATTATTATGCAGCCCAGATTGGCATTAAATTCTCAATCCTCCTGCCTCAGTCTCCCAGGGGCTGAGATTAAAGCATGTGTCAGCATGCCTGGATCAAGAGTGTTTCATTTCTTTTAATCCAAAGGAATTTTCCCTGAAACAAAGTAATCTCCTTATAGTTAAGGCCTCACAGAGTCTTTCAGAGAAAAGATGCTCCCAGTGCACTCCTTTAATCAGAGCACTAGGGCGCAGAGGCAGGCAGGTCTTTGTGAGCTGGACCACAGCCTGATCTGCAGAGTGAGTTCCAGGCCAGCCTGGGCTATGTAGTGAGATCCTGTCTTTAAAAATATGTACCAGCTCTCTCTTCTTTGTTTGATAACAAATGTAGTATTTGGAAAAGACATGGCAACCTCAAACAGCCTCAATTATGCTAGTTTCTAAAAGTAAAATTGGTGAGAAGACAATTAAGAAAATTCTATAAAGATTTGTCCCCCTTGGGAACATGAACTCAGCATTACAAACTGGATGTTGTCTTTGCAAGCAAGGTTTCTAAAAATCACAATCACTTTTTGAGTTACTAGAAATTCAATGTAGGGTCTTTCACATCCTAGGCAAACACTGTACCATTTGGCTACATTACAACTAATAACCTAAAAAGAACACCGTCATTATGATATGGATAGAAGGAAAAGTGGAAGTGATGTAATGAAGCCAGAGAGCACCCAACGCTCCAGAAAGGACTTCTAGAGAAAACTCCACATGTGGATTCAAGCAGAGAAGGAAGTAAATATGATCTATTACATGATCCAGTTATTCTAGTAATCATGAAAAATAGATGTAAATAGTTTGAATGAAACTATGGTATGTGAAGTATAAACAATATCTAAGCTAATATTCATATACTATGTGATAGGAGTGGACACCAATATTAAAATATTAAATAAGGAAAACAGATAGCTGCAGAATTTTAAAATCTATAATCCTAAACGTTGCACATACAAGTTAGTAGAAAAGCTTTCTTGAATAAAATTTCTTATGCTACAAATAGCAGATTTTCTCATATTCTATTCTGCCTAATACTCAACTTTTATTGCATAGCATTACATAAAGAAAACTGTATAAAAAGTTACTTAGGGTCATTTTATAACAAATAAAACTTCTATTCTATAAAAGGAAAATTAGCTGAAATGAACTTGAATTTTGAGATCAGAATAACACTTAGTACCAGGCACATGTTAAATAAATCCATGTACTTAAACATTTTCTCTTATGTATGGAGAACAAATTTAAAAACAAGATAATAATTTTTAAAGTTAAAGTCAATAATCCATCTATTGCATTGAAACCCAAAAACATAAATGGTTCTTTGTTCATACGATTTAGTCGGTTAAACAGTCTCGATAGGACAATGATGGGATGAGAGACATGAAGTACATCTGTTCAGATAACGGGTGGTTGACATATAGCACAGGTTAGGGATTCAGTTTTGAAAAGTAGGAAGGACTTCTAGCTTGGTTTGTCTAACTTCATCTGCACATGGGCTTATTTCTGAATTCAGAACACCTACCTCTAAATATTCTAAGGAGCAGTTTTCCCCCTCTTCCATTTCAAATGCTGTAAATGTGTAGTTCACAGTGTTACCCTTTGATGCTTGGATGGTCCAGTTGCAACGCTGATTACCAGAATAAGGATGTGGATAATTTATGCTTTCTAAGACTCCATAAGTTTGATTCACTATGACCACATTGTCACATGCTAGAAACAAAACAAAACAAAACAAAAACCAGTCACAGGTGTCAAGAAACACTAGCACATATGTCACAATGTCTCTGAGGTGTAGGTGAGATTCCCCTTTCAGAAAACACCTAGCACCTAGATATATATGGCGTGGCATTTTTATACTGACAGAATCTCCATTTAGAACAAATGTGAAACAATACTTAATTGAATTTAAGCTTTAAAGTGTCCCAGAGTTGAACAGCTATGTTATAATAAGCATCCGTCACAGTTTTGTCAACTTGACACAAACCTAGACATTAATTTGGAAAAAGGAATCTCAACTGAGGCGCTACTTCCATCAGATTTATCTGTGGACATATCTATGGACCTTTTTTTTTTTTATTATTTCTGATTAATAAGGACGGGCTTAGCTCAGTGTGGGAAGTACCATCCCTGGGCAGGTGGGCCTGGGTTGTTTAAGGAAGTTAGTTGAGCTGGCCGTGCTGCCTCCCAGTACTTGGGAGGCAGAGGCAAGCAGATCTCTGTGAGTTCAAGGCCAGCCTGGTCTACACAGTGAGTTCCAGGTCACCTGGAGCTACAGGGAGACCCTGTCCTAAAAAGACCAAAAGAAAGAACGTTAGTTGAGCAAGACAGGGAAAGCAAGCCAGTAAGCAGCATTCCTGTATGGTCTCTGCTTCGGTTTCTGCCTTGAGTTCTTGCCCTGGCTGCCCTCAATAGTAGAGTGTTATTGGAACACGTAAGCCAAATGAACCCTTTCCTTCCCAAGTAGTTTTTGGTCATGGTGTTTATTGCAGGAACAGAAACCAAACTAGGACAGCATCAGATTCCTATAAAATGGTGGGCAAATAGCTTGGCTCTATTCAGAGTCCTCTGATTTGTTTATAGAAATGCATTAAATATTCTGTGCTTCTGTTTTTCTAGCTTTAAGATTTAAATGAAACAGAAATCCTGATCTTTAAACTCTTCGGTAGAAATACAAAGTACTGTGTGAATGGTAAATGAGTAAAAGCATGGCTTGTTAGAACATTCAGATATCTGCAGGAATCTACAACAAAGGCTTTTTATTCCTACAGTTACTCATTAGGAAGCTCCCGTGAGGGGAAGGGGGCAAAAGATGGAAAGCAGAAATGGAATCCTTCAGGGTTTTTTTGGTTTTTTTTTGTTTGTTTTGGTTTGTTTTGGTTTTGGTTTGTACGTTTATTTTTTTGAGACAGGGTCTCCCTGTAGCCCCAGCTGGCCTGGAACTCACTATGTAGACCAGGCTTATCTTGATTCAGAGATCTGCCTGCCTCTGCCTCCAGAGTGCTGGGATTAAAGGCATTGCACCATCATGCCTGGCATAATCCTTCAGTTTTGAACAAAGCCACACTAGGCAGCTCTAGCTGCGTGTAATCATGGGAGTGGATGTCAAATCCAGCCAATCACAGTGGCCTGAACAAAGGAAATGTGTGACATATCTCCTCTTTTCTTTATCTTTATTCTTTTATATTTCTTTATGATGTATAGTGAAGGAAAATGGGAAACAAGCATTATATTAAAAGAGTTGCCTTGGATAAATGTAGTACCTAGACTTTCTTCTGCCTCAACACTGCTTGCAGTGACACCATTTAGAAATTTGGGTTTGATTTGGAATAGCGAACATCACGCGGCCCTTCAAACCTTCCTTGCTGAAGCAGGTGTCATGTCATGTGTGTTCTCTTTGAAAATCCTAACCTCATAATTTTTGTCAACAAAGGATATTGAAAGGATAATTTTGCTGTTTTAGACATGTGTGAGAAACAATGCCTATTAGGCAACAGGAATCACAGAACAGAGAAACATATCCAATAAGCCATATTGACTGTTCTTATTTCTCACAAAGTGAATTGTGTGCAATTCTCCAATTTCAAATGGCAAATTTTTGTAGAAATTTTTTCTTTCTTTCTTTCTTTCTTTCTTTCTTTCTTTCTTTCTTTCTTTCTTTCTTTCTTTCTTTC